AACTATTTTGTAAAAACGAGGAAATATGTCATTATAACGACTAAAATATCTCGTTATGATGAGAAAACTATTTTGTAAAAACGAGGAAATATGTCATTATAACGACTAAAATATCTCGTTATAATGAGAAAACTATTTTGTAAAAACGAGGAAATATGTCATTATAACGACTAAAATATCTCATTATAATGAGAAAACTATCTTGTTATATCAAGATAACCATATAGTTATTACGTGTTATGGTTTCTTCTGGTTTGTCACTTTCACAGAAGTTTACTGCCTGGATGGTGTGATGGAGAACACGCCTGAACCACTATATGATCAAAAACGAACAGAACGCATATTATTTGGGTTTGTGCTCAGACGTTTCAGCTAGTAGCACTTCTTTAGCAATATGCACTCTCTAATCTGAATTCAGAGGCTATTATTTCAAAAACATTATTCAGTACTAACTTACTTTGTCATTTTTTAGTCTAAAAATGTGTTCATCTTGCAGATTTCTTCTTTTTTAAAAAGGCATATAGTGGCTCAGTTGTGTTCTCCATCACGCCATCAGTGACAAACCAGAACCATTGCACGTTATAACAAGATGGTTATCTTGATATAACAAGATAGTTTGCTCATTATAATGAGATATTTTAGTCATTATAACAACATATTTTCTCGTTTTTACAAGATAGTTTTCTCGTTATAACGAGATGGTTTTCTTGCTATAATGAGATCCAGTTTAAAAATAATTTCATTCATGTGACAGCTCTAGGCTTCCGTAGTAGTCGATGTAAAGAGGGTAAAACTGGTGTGATGTGTGCCTCTCTTGTTAAAAGCCTTGCTGCAGTTTTCTGCACCAAGTCATACATGTTCTCTCCTTGTCCAGTTGGTGGCAGTGTGGGCCATGTCTTTTTTCTTTCTTTCTTTTTTTTCTGGTAACCAGACACAAGCAGAAGCAAGCTTTATTGGATAAACTACTTACAGTCTATCAAATAGTTTTTATGTTTGTAGCAGATGCCCAGAAAGCATCTGCAAAGACCAGGAATTGTGACGAGAGCTGCTCCTGATCTCTAGTTTCTCTGCTTGGCCACGGCTGAGCTTAACTCTGCATTTGGAGCCATCCCAGCCCACAGTCAGCATCTTGCACTGCGGAACCGTGCAGCAAAGCATTATCATAATGAAAAGTATTAATCTAATCCCACCTCTTTTTCCCCCCATGAATCAAAATCCCAGATAACTGCACGCCATCCCTGCTGTCGTTCAACGTGCRGGTTAGAATACTGGGACTAAAATATTTTCATTTTTTTCCTAGAAAGTCCTCGTTTTATTTCAGTGTGGACTTTCAGGCCTCAGATTAAATTTTGCAGACATAAAGGATCTGAGATATTCCAGGTCTTTTCAAGGATACAGAAGCCAGAATAGTTTGGCATTTTATCCAGCATTAAACGCAGCGTTTTATTTTACAGTTTCCTTTTAACAAAACAGGTCAGTGTGTTCTTTCAGCTCGAGTTCTTTACCGCTTTCCTTTTTTCCTAAGTGTCCATGCCTGACCTTTTTACTTCTTTTTTCTCATGGTACAGACTCCCTTTGAGACAGAAAATTCATGCCGGGCTATACTTCYAAACATGTGACGGTCCTAACGTGGGTTTTGTTCAGGGAATTAGATTCCCCGGGAGGAATCTGGATCTGCAACGAGCCACTGAGTTGGAAACATTTAATGTAAGGTGCTCTGAAATACAGAGAGGGAAATCAATCATAGCAACATGCTGCAGCGATGAAGAAAAAATACAGGAGAGTTGAGTTCCTATTAGATTTTTACAGTTAGGCCTTCTGGCTATTTTATATGAMGCTCACCCCGTGACATTGGATTTAAAGAAATTAATGTGTACACAATAGTGGCCATGAGATAAGAATGTCTCTTTGTGAGAAAAACAGATATTGCTGGAGTCAGATTAAATATGAAAATGTTATTTTTGTGTTTAACTGTTCAGAGATACCCCCCACATTATTATTATTATTATTATTATTATTATTTTATGACAGGTGAGAAATAATAAATATATTTTATTGTTAGTTGAAGTCAAAATTATTCAAAAGGC